ATATTTCAATCCATTAAAAAAAACCCACAACAACAAAAAAACCCCACACCTCCCCCCCCCCCCCCCAAACACAAAAAACCAAAACCACCACGATGTCCTGAAGGAAATAAGCCTGGAAAAAGTCTATGCTAGCATTTGTACAGTTTGTCCACAAAAAAATGATCCACCACTACTTAAAATGCAATCAGACTAAAAGGATTGCTCCTCCTCCCATAAACACATTCAAAAGCAACACATTGAAGCATGGGCTATTGAAACTGCTTTTTAAGTCACTGTTCTTATTAGGGTTGAGAGGAACTTTTTTATCTCACAACCTACTTGGAGTAGATGCTACAAGAGAAATAACAAGCACTCCTAGATGAGATACAGCATTTAGTGGTCAGAGCGATCATTACTGTACAGAAAATTCACACACTGTTCTGGATGAAGATAAGAAACAGTACGAATAATCACTAATAATTCTAATATACTGCATGAACAGATGGCCTGAACTATCAAATGTTTTATCAGTCTTACTGTTTTTTACATTGTGATGGACAAAAATTATACATTATAAACTGTGGCTGAGACAATGAGTGTTTCCATCCATCATTTTAGGCTTCTCTTATTCCAACCATGTGACAGAGTTGAATAAAGTTTATGACATCTTGGCAGGGAAGATTCATACAGAAGCTAATATCTAGATTGATTATACGAATACTGCATTTATTCCCCATAAAAGCAAAAAAAAATGTTAATTTTAAGAAGGGATCTCTATTTCACTTCACTGAACTAGACCACAACAAAATATTTTAGAAGCCCTAGCAGATTATTCATAAAAAAAACCTCACAGATCTACATTAACCTTCAGATTGCTGCTGAAACTGCATTTGTTCTCAAGAGGCTGTAAAGTTATTGAAAAGCTGTACGCTGATCCCAAATAAAGGAAATTTCACTTTAAGAAAGCAAGCTAAAAAATCTGATAGAAATACTTCATGTAAGCCACAGACTCCTCTCCCCCCACTCTAAGCAGGCTTGGCACAGCATCCAGGCATGGCCAGCTCTCTGCTGGGGGCAACGTTCTTGGCTGTGAAGGCAAAGCATGCCCTCTGTCACTCATGGCGAGCAGTCCTGTCCAACTGTCTCTTTTCAACAACTTTATCATCAATCTCTTTATTAACAGCTCCACTGCAGACTGAGAACGCAAACAAGGACAGTGCGCATGCCAGATTTCTGGAAAGCACACAGCATCAGACACCAGACAGGGCAAGGTTTCAGGAAAGCTGGAGCAGAAGCTGTAGTGCAAAACTCTTACCTGCCATCTTAGGAACTATCATGTTTATTATGTTTACTTAGAAGCAAGCTTCTGCTTTTTTCAGCTTTAATAACTGCACCTGCTTTAGGTTAGCCGATACTGTAATGCAAGGAAACAGCACAGAAATAATCTTAGATGAAGAGTTTGAATTGATGTGTAGATTTTAAGCATGTAAAATATCTCCTTAAGTAGCAGTATTGAGAATATATACTTCTAAAAATACAAACATAAAATGCATGCATAAAGTAAATGTGCTAGCTCACAAATAAGAGACAAAAAGACATTTGGAGTTGTAAGTCCTCCAGTACCTGTGTGGGCCACAGTTATTATGGGGCAGTTTAAATGCATTGGCTACTTTCTTAAATAAATAAATGCAGCTTTCCTTACACAAGAAGTTGGGAGTTTTTATCATTTTACATCAACAGTAATTTTCCTCTTTATCCTTTCCTATTACATGCCTGGATTCTGGCTCTTACTGTAAGATAGTAATTTACAGCAAAAAACAAGCTTGATAATATCTGCATATACCGTTAAATGATTTTCTTTCAACAATTAGTATGCTGTTAAATTTGACTTTCTCCTAAATTCAGTATCTTTGGTGGTGATGAGGTAAAAATTAAAGGAAGTGTATAGGACATAATCATTATTAGTTTATTTTAAACATTCCACTGGAATAGAGGTCATAAAAATACTGAGGTAATTGAAGGGGGGGGGGGGGGGAATGACATGCTGCATTACGAACTGGGATCTGCTTAATTCATTAGGTGTGAGAGGAAGGGGAAAAAAAAAGTTACCTGAATATAGCACTCTAAAATTTAATCAGAACAATACAAATACGCTTAAGCTTAATTAAAAAAAAATAAATATCCAAAGTTTAAATATCCAAAAGGCAGATGGGACATCCAGCAGTGGTTCATTGTATTACCTTTTTCATAACAAAAAATGGCCTCTGAAGTTTCATACCGAAGTTCACGTTCTTTTGGTGATGATAGCAGCAGATGTTTGATGTCTGTAGATACTTCAAATTATTAGCTTGAACTCTGTAGACACATCGAACTGCATCTGCCTCTATCAACAAATCCCAAGATGGTTTGCTCCTTTTGAACAGATCCTTCTACTAAGATTACTGAAGTAACCCAAAAATGATTTAGTACTGATGTTTTTCCAATACAAACATTAGATCTTTAAAAAAAGTGAACCTACCAAACACTCAGCTATGTCTATACAGACATTCATGGATGTACTATCCTAAGGCCTGCATGATTTTAAGTCACAAAATCTCTGGTAGTTTCATTCAGCCACAACGATGCCAAAGAGAAATAAAGCACAGCAAAGCTAGCTGACTGGTGTGTTTAGGAAGTCACATAAATAACACCAGGATTACTTCAACATGAGAAATGCTTTTTGTATAAATACACACAACTTCCAAAGACTACATATTATGAGAAAATATGTATTTTGTCTTGCATTTAAGTACAGATTCTGGCTCAGTAATACCTATACTGAACTATTTTTGGTTATTCTAGAAACCGAAGAACTCAATTTTAACTTTTATTGTCAATTAAAATCAGTTCTCTTATTAAGGTACATTTACTATCAATTGTTATTTATTACTACACAGTTACTATATATTTAAAAGATTTTGCAGTAAAAAAAAAAAATGGCACACACACACACTACCTACAGCAAGAAGGAAGGACAAGTTTAGCTAGAACTCATCAACTCAAATGTGATTCCAATCAGTATGTCTAAAGCCATCTGTTAGAACCATGGCTTATTAATGTTAATTATTTTGGCTACAACAGCAATTTTCAGCTTCTTCTTTGCAGATCCTTATGAGTCCATGAACTTACTTCTGGAGGTTCATGACAGGTAACTCAGAAAAACAAGCCTACTGAAGCCTACCACCAGTAGATCCAGAAACACTGAACAGAAATTTGTATATCTACTAGCAGATTTTTATTGGTTGGAGAAAACAAAAGAGGAATTAAAGCCATAAATAACATCAACTGTGATGAAAGGGAGATGGGGTGGGCAAGATATAAAGATGATGAATCTGTTCTAAACAAGACAAGCAATTGCATGCTGTGAAAAATATATACATCACAAGGTTTATTGTTTTAGGCAGGGTAATATGAACACCAAAACTATCAGTGGTTTTAACAATTAAATTTTAGTCAAAAGGAAGGTATTTAAAGTTACTCACATGAAGCATTTGGAGGATTGGGCTCATACTGATACAAAGATCAATCAAGTGATGCACAGCTACTTCTAATTTTTACTTTTATTTCAGAGCAATCTTAAACTATTTGACAAGAAGAGAAATAGTGCCATCTGCTGACATAAGAAAGAGTCACAAGAAAAGCAAGTGTAAGATGCCAAAACTGTTATAGCCGTGTTTTTGAGAAATGAGCTTCAAGCTTTTTAAATATATAGTACTTCACACTTTTGATACCAAACTATTTTTTTTCAGCTTTTAAATATACAAGATTTTTGAGAGGGACTCCTAATCAGCATACAAGGAATGGATGCTCTTAAAATTGGGTATTTTTTGGGCATTAAACTCTGTTCACAACAAGCCACTACACAATCCACGACCTTTCCCTTTTATAGACTGGAACTCAACATTCTGCTGAGCGTTACTTCCACTACCTATAACATCACACTTCTTTAGAGAACATTTATTTATGTACTCTTTTATGCCACATGGTGTTTTTGTCTTAGCAGAAAACTTAAGAGCTAAATATGAATTGAGAGTGCATTCAGAAAAATCACACAACTATGGGATTGTGCTGTTTTTTATTGTGTTTTCAATGGAGAAATACATCATCTGTTTACAAAATAGCTCTTGAAAAATACAAGGAGTACAGATACTATAAAACAAAGCAAACTCCAGTCATGAGACACTACGTACATCATGCGAAAGCAACAGTCTGATCTCCAGGTTATGAAAACTAGAATTAAAAAGTCACTATACAGAAAGGTTCCAAGTTTCCAGCTTGGCAAAACTTGGGTGCAGTTACATGAAACGTTTAATAAAATGAAAAAGATTTTCTGATGTGTAAACAAAATGACAAGACTAAATTTGTGCCTGGCAATTTCGATCTAAACTCCATAGCTACACAAAATACACAGACACCTTGTACACTTCAACTGTTAATATAACCTTCTTCGGGGGGGGCAAGGAAAAGAGAAATATTGTATACTAGACATCTTAGACAAATGGCAAAAAAAACCCTTCAGTTACTGCACAGCCTAAGTAAAAGATAAGCTACACTCTGACTTTGGAGAATTAATTTAGAAGGATAAGGGGAAGAGTGTAAGTAATTCAATTTTAACATGAAAGATGCACGTGTAATAGGATGGAGCACAAAGGGAGAAGGAAGTTCATAAAACATGCTAATCAAAGTATGGGAAGTATGATTTGACATCCCACATTCCAGACTTAAGTAACAGTAAAATGAAGTTTGTTATCTACATCTGGTATTACTGTTGGTATCCCTCATGTTCCTTTGCCATGAGAGATTTAGTTCTTTCAAAAAGAAAAAGTTGTTACTTTATTGATAGGACTACAATAACAAAAAAACAGGAGTCTAGAGCTTACTAGATGTCAAGTGCTTACTAGAAATATGATTTTTAAAAATTCAGCATTGTTCAGTATGTAAAACTATTTTTGATGAGCCATCTAAAAATAAAAAGGTTAAAATTCTTCGGGAAAAATCTTTTTGCCTTTATTTAAAATTTGAAGCTTTTTAATGCATACAGGACTTTCATGGAGTGTACAAAAATCACCTTATATTTAGTGATTCAAAGGCCATCAAGACGGGTGTTGTATTTCACAGGCACGCAATATTTACTTAAACACTTTAGTCATGAGACAAAATTCTGAATTTGTGCCTACAGGCCAAAAGGTATTACGACAAGGTAAGGAGCAAGAGGGAATCCAAATGAATACATGGCTTGTTTTTTTTTGTGTAAATAACCATTGTCATACATGGTGCATACAAGCTGGAGAGGAAAGAAAAAAAGACACGAACAAAAAAACCCCACCCACCATTAAACACAAAAGCTTTTCCCAAGAAATAAAGGGATCAAAAAAAAAGGTAATAAAGAGTTTGATTAGCTCAAAGGAAAGTTTATTTGCTGTTTCACTGCTGATCTGTATGCACCTTAAAACAATCCTATAAATAAAAAGTAGACCACATCTTAATCATGTCCCAGTCCCACCAATACCAAAACTTCCCAATTACTCCCTCAACTTATGTCTTATAACCTCAACATTTGACATTTCATTCTAAAGGCTTACTGCTGCTTGATGGCAGTTGAACTAGATATACTACACACTTGTTTTCAATGCATAGTATATTGTAGAACATCATCCAATTTGCACTACTGAAGATATTCTTCAATAAAACGAAAGTGTATCAGAGCTAAGATCTAAAATTAGTCATACTCCAATAAAAAAAACTACATAAAAGTGCATTTAAGGGATTCTTATGCCAGTTTTATCTCAATTTTGAAACAATGCATCAAACAAATTCAATCAGAATGTCAAATATGGCTACAAATAGTGTTCATGTTTTTAAAGGCAGTAATCCTTCGAAATACTTAATGCAACTGTTGCTAACACATTAATTGTACTCCTGGCTTCACATACTAACCTGGACTTCCAATCAAGTGGTGATTTTAGCCCAGAAAGGGAAGTGCACAAAATATACCTAAATCCATTTGCGATTATGTTCTAGTCTTGCACCCTCCATTCTCCTTTTTTAATAGCATTAGAAGACAACAGGTTGAGTTGGCAGATATTGTTTATGGACCCCTGAGGTTGTTTTTACCGATTCAATCTCAATTTTATTGAATTCTTGATAACAGGAATAGGATTTGCAGGGAGAGCAGGGATATCTGAAAGGTCTGTACTGGGTGTTTTCTGAAAAGAAAAGAAATGAAGCATTTTAACTTTGTCAGTATCAAAAGAAAAATACTGTAGTAACTGGCATTAACTTTGAAAAACAAGATCTTTAGAAGAGCTTTTTAAAAATATACCAGGATGAGAATCATTACCAATTATAAACACAGAAGCAGATATTTCCTTTGCCTACATAGTCATTACGGAAAATCTGTACCAGTCTTTTCCATAACATGCATTTCCTTTTTTGACAACTGCAAGAAATTAGGAAGTGCAGATATGTCTGAGCCTACTAATAACCTGTATTATAACAAAAAGTAATATCCACAGAATTAGGGTGCTTGGTAGGTGACACCTAGTGTCTGATCTACATGTTTAGCATTTAAAAATTCCTTTGAACAATTCAGTGTTAAGCTTCAGCCCTTTGCAAGTCAAGGATGAAAAACTGTCTCCAGTGCAAAGTGCACGTCTTCATACATTCCATTTCAGACTGTGCGGAAGCTCTTACAGCCAAATTTCCAACTTTTCTTATCCGTTTAAATTTACATAGAAAAGGTACGATGAATAGTGCTATACGGCTGGGTTAAGAATTCCACCTTGAAAATACTCTGAACACCTAAAAGACTTAAATCCCATTCAGCAAAATTACATCTACAGCCAAATAAAGGAAAAAATAGCAAAGGAACACACCCAATATTCAGTGTGATTCATTAATTTCTCACATGCTTCTTTATTGCTGGCTGGTGGGTTTGTTTTGTTGTGGGTTTTTTTTTTTCTTTGGGGGGGGTGGGGGTGGAGATGTGGTGGGTAGAAGTGGGGTAAACTTTGAAGTATTTCTCTTCCACTGTGGCAGATCAGTTGCCATTCCAATAACCCAGTTATTATGCATTATTTCCCATAATGATTTATCATAAAAGGTTATTTTATAAGCACTGAAAATTAATATGAGGTACATTTGATAAATGGGGGAAAACTGCATTAAAATGACTGCTCTTAATTGTTGTTTTAACAAGTTAACACTAACTGATATGGCAGCAATGCAACCAGGACTTGGGGCAGAACAGCTCTGACCACTTGCCTCCCTCTTGCCCCCAGTAGCCCACTCTGGTTGGTGCTGATCTGTGGTTTACCATGTCTCTATTTTCTGGCACATGACCAGGGCTTCAACCAAACCCAACAATACTATTCAAAAATGAGAAGAGGCCCACCATTCTTTTGCAGATTACTTTTGCTAAAGTAGTAGCTACACAATAAATAAAAACTACAAAGCTTCCTATAATCATCCCTCAACAAAAGGTAAGACAAACTTGGTGTACTAACTGATCTAAAAATATCCCTGAAACAGCTTAGTTGGACCATGGAACATCTAGAATTTTTGCCAATTTGGTACTTTTATTCAGTATAGTTCAAAAAGTCCACTAACAAATGCCACAAATACTATTGCAATGTATCCTATTTTCAATTAAAACATTTACTAGACATCATTTAATAATTCTGCATAAAATGCTTTGCAATAGCATAACTTTAATCAGTAGAGCACTAAGAAGCTCAAAAATGCTAGTAAAGATGTGTTCTCTAAAAGTTGTTACAATATTAGGAACAAGAATTTAAGTGAATGCCACAGACGTCGTAATTTGATGTCTATTTTTCCAATGCTCCTTACACTTACAATACCTGCAGTGAAGAAACACAGGTGGCTAAGGAATTACAAAATTACGATAAATTTTCTCTCTCATACTGAATTTCAGAGCCTAAAGTTACATTTCAAACATTTTCAACCTCTACAGGGATATCTTTGACCAGCAACTGTTTTAAAGCTTTTTGTTTCCCTGTTAGAAAGGATTATTCTGTGATGTGCAAAGCACAAAGGAATAAGCTGAGGCCCTTACTTTGAAGGCACAATTCAGAAGAGCGAATCCAGCTTCAGTCAGTTTGTATGGCAAGCCATACATGTTTAGCTACAATGCACATTCATTAAGATCAATGACCATCTAAAACACAAAAATTGTGACAGTAACAATAACCAGCTTTCCATATGATGGAATTAATTAAAAATTATACATTTAGTTTTAACATCTGGACTAATTTTAATTTCAATATTTTCACCACAGATTACTGCACACACATACAGAGAGGTGTTATTTTTAACAAACAGTACCTGAGGAGCTTGCAGAGAAGGTGTCTGAAGAGTTTCTGTTTGAGAATTAACATTCACTTCTGTCTCAAGTTGCTCCTAAAAAACAAGAAGTATCAACATATATTAAAGAAGTTGATTCCTCCATTTCTTCCCTGAATATTAAGCACATAAGATTTAGAGGAGTCTGACAGTAAAAAGCTAACAGGATTACCTATGTCTCTTATAATGATCTGTTATCCAGAGGATCTATTTTCAATATTAGAGTTACAAGCTTATATGCATTTCAGCCTTTACGCATCTTGAGTTTGAAAAAGATTTCAAGGTGACTACATAATAAGATACAATTCCTCATCTGAGGGTGTGAAGACTATAAACCAAAGCACTTAAACATTTTAATAGATATTTTAATTTCTTGAGCATTTCCAGAGCATTCCAAAGGCAACAAAATATGCCCTATAAAAACCGTGTATGCCCAAGTGGATAGTTGCTATCATAAAGCTAAAGACAGACTTTCACCCTTTCTATTCACCAATAAGCAGAAATTGTCTGCTAAGTTACAAGATACTGGAGTGAATCTCTGCAAGTCCTGAGAAGTTATGCTGTAACTTCATACAGTAATTTCACTATCAGAAGAAATATACTTACAATCATTTGTTGTTGCCTTGTGGGTTTTTTTTTAATCTAAAAAGTGAAAAAGTTTGCACCTGGCATTGGGATTCTCAGCCCAACATGCAAAAAATCCCAATAGACAACTGTTCTTAAACTAAGTAACTTACTGTGTTTGGGATGCAGGCAAAGCAAGGTATACAGACACAGCCCTTATCCGATTTAAGAATTTTAAATACAAATATAATCATTAATTTTTTTGCTATGCATGATGCTGTGTGAATGACCAGCAAAGAAATCTCTCTCCTATGCAAACATAAACTCAGATTCAGCTTAAACTGCAGCAAGTAACATACTGCAATTCATTAATGCTGACACAGTGAAAAAACAACATATCATTTTGGTATCTTCACTGGAGAGTCTATAATATATCTGCAAACAATAATTCCTACAGGAAAGCACAGTAAGCTTCACAAGGAAGAGTCACAATTAATATACAAAAGTTGTATGGGTTAGGCACAGATACCTTAATGTCCATTTTTTCATGTTCATTGAAATCTATACAGCTAGTATCTTCGCTTATTTCATCCTGCTGAAATGCAAACAAACCCAGAAAATATTAAAAATCATAAAAACATATTTTAAAATAATCAACAAGGTCGCAAAGTGTTTTTCAAGACAAAATTAGCTGTAAGACTTAACACGCTCATATTCTAACAACAAGTAGCTTTTAAGACAAGAACTTAAAATCTGAGCATTTGTGCTAATCCAGTACATCATGTGATGAATATCAGCATGGTGAAAAACCACTAACACATAAACAAGCTGCATACATAAAGCAGCAATGCAGTCAGAGTAGGAAATATACATCCCATTTAACAAAATAATTATAACTGGGAATATTATAATCAACACTGTGCAGCTGATGTGAATATATGAATGTAAAGTTTTGGGCACTGCTATGGTATGATCTCAAAAATCTCAAATACCTCTTCAATTTTTATTTTCTTAGGAGACTCTTCCTTATGGGGAGATGATGTCCTTTTCACTGCTGTGACAGGGCTAGGCATTTTTGTTGCAACATTTCCTGAAGTTCTTGGTGATGGATTTAGCAGACACGCTGAGGAAGCAATTCTAGAGATGGTAGGCTTTGGTGGTGGAGAAATGGCTGGTTGCGTGGCAGTTTGAGGAATGCTTTCATTTGAAGTACCTATGGATAAATAATTTTAAAAGCTTCAGCAAGATGAGTTGATACAACCATTTTAGGTCAATCACTGGTATTCTTGGTCTCTACTCAAAATCACTGGTATCAAGTACGCACCAAAGAAGCGGTACAGTTAGTTGTATAAGCACCATATTTGGAACAGCAGGTGTGCATCCACAGAGTTTAGTCTCAAGTTAATTCTGAGATAATGTGCGTACCAGATACAGGGTATCAGTGACGTGCTGCTTGGTCTCATTAACCCTGCTTAACAGCAGGGTATATTAGCTCAGACAGAACTCTGTGCTAAGACAGCTGTATTATTCTTGGTACCCAAAAGAAGTTTTACTGTTTCTGTACTTGGCCATATATATATATATGCATTGACAAGGAGTGCCTTAAATCAAATTCAAGAGCAATCTGGTACTCCTTTTGTCACTTAAACATGAAGTTTATCATTTCTCATGCCTTGAGTACACAATGACAGACTAAGTCACAGAACAGTAGACAGAAATCTGACATTCCATGCATCCTTTTGAAAAAGGCTGCATATGACAAAGCTCTAGCTCACCAACTGCCTACCTCAAACCGATGAGCACACACAGGGAGATGCTCAAGTAAGAGAAACATTACACTTAGGACATTTTTCACTAGTAACTATCAGGTGGCTGCTTCAACTAAAACACAAGAATGAGCAACTTCTGATATGCTTCCAAATCCAAAAATGTCACACCGTTTAAGCTCCATTTAGTGCTCATAGACAAACTTATTCACTTTGATGCACCTGTGACTTACAATAAAAATCAGTGAACCGTCTCACATGTCAGAGTGAAATAAGAGAAATCTCATCTTGAAAGGCAAACCAGTTGGTCACCTTTCCCATCTATTTCTGACTTGTTCCTTGTATACAGCTAATGTTTATCAAAAAAGAGGAGCAGCTGACTCTAAGTGAACAATTTCATCAGATGCCTTTGCTCTTTCACTAAAAAATACTTTAAAAAGAAAAAATATTACTGAATGAAGTGTACCTTTTCTTGTAGAAAATACAGATAAAGCCTGCACACAGAGTGAGACATAGCTGAAAAGACATCAATAAGCAGCATGTGCTCTGCTTACATCCGAGTCGTTTTCACTCCTAGACTAAATTTCCATGAAGGACAAGGAGCAGGAACATGGGAGCACAGATGACAAACAGTACAAAACCCCATCTTGGGTTTAACTATAAAATGGATTAAAAATAAAAATTGCTCTTCCAGCTTTAAATAATTTTTCCTCATTTGACGAGCTGAACTACAGACCTGCCTCAGGACATCAGAAAACTACTGCTATTGTGAATAGCAAATAAAAATCCTTAAGAACAAAAGAACAAACAAACATCACAAAATATTCCGCTGTGATTTCCAGAGTCCTAAAGAAATTAGTTAAATCTGTATGCAAAGAGAACATGTTACAGCATGCATTAAGTAAAGAACCCAAACTGGAAGAAAAAAGCCTTTAAGTGTTATCAAAAAAAAGCCAAAAAAAAACAAACAACAAAACAAAACAAAAAACCAGTATCAACAGACCAGCATATTAAGCCATTTCCCTTACCCCCTGAGCTTTCACTGGAATTTATTTGTGGCACAGTGACTTCAGAAGCCTGTATGTTGGTCACAGATGCTGCTGTTACAGCTGGCGCAGGACTGGTTCTGCTAAAAAGAGAAAAATGACGAGATGCTAAGCATTACATAAAGTTATGGTGCTATATGATCGGCCAGTAACCACAGCTGATAAGATTTTACCTACGTTACAGGCCAGAACTTGAAATACAGTGTCACAGTAGGAAGACAGAAATGAGCACTGGCAATCTACTATCAAACTTGAGTAAAGGAAGCTATTTCAACTATTTAACCTGAATCACTTCAGAGACAGCTTTTTAGACCAGTAAGAAGCTGAATTTAAAAAAAAAAAAAAAAAGCAACAAATAAGGCTCTTCCTGCTAACTACCACTTACAGCCTCCTACTGCAGTGCCCCAAGTTTTTATATTATCTTGTTCTAAGCATATTTACCCAACTTTATTCCTCAACTGAAGTCCAATACCATAACGCCTAACTCCAAATTCAGTCCTGCTCTAGTGCTCAAACTGGACATAGGAGTGTCTACAAGCTCCAATTTGGACCATTCACGCCTTGATAATCATCTCACATATGATTATTGGCGAGGCACTGGAATAGGTTGCCCAGGGAGGTTGTGAATGCTCCATCCCTGGCAGTGTTCAAGGCCAGGTTGGACGAGGCCTTGGGTGATATGATTTAGCGTAAGGTGTCCCTGCCCACGGCAGGGGGGTTGGAACTAGATGATCTTAAGGTCCTTTCCAACCCTAACGATTCTATGATTCTATGATTCTATATGCAATATTTGCTGTTTCTCACACAATTACTTCAGAAACAGAAAGCAGGAAGAAGACTGAAAGTCTTCATTACCCCTGAGAGCTTCCAGAACTGTTCAATGGACTCGTCTTCATAGCACTAGTAGGTGAAGGCACAGACGTGCTGTTATCACTGTCCATAGACAAGTCTAGGCTGCTGTCATTCAGAGTTGTCAACCTGATCCCTTCTGTTGAATGCTGCAATCCACAAGACAACAGAAAATCATTAGTCCTATTAAGGGCTTAAATATCAGCAAAGATTCAAATGATGCAATATTTCCATAATGCAAAATATTAGCTGTTACATTTGTGAAGAAAAAACAAACAAAAGATGATTTAACAGCGATGAGCTTCCACCATAAGCTAAGTTTGTATGCATGCCTTAAATGCAGTTACATTTTAAGGAAAAAAACCCACAAAAAACTAGTGTCAAAACCTGGTGTCAAAATAGGAGCATTTAAAACCACAAAAAAGTGGACAAATTTAAAATCCTTTTATGTGTAAATACTACCCCATCCTGTCACTACAAGCATTTACATTTTCACATTCACAATTCAAGTGTAGATTTGTCTGAACCAACAATGTTCAAAAGCACAAGATGAACTAATCTATTTAGTGATTGTATTTTCAGCTTTATTTCCAGTTTCTTTGGCTTATAGATACTGCTTTCATTAACATCAAAGTAATATTGATGCACACCAAAACCACAATTAATACAAAGAATTGAGAGACTGATTTGAACTTATAGTCAGCAAAGAACCCTCCTCTGACACAGCACTACTTGAAAGAGATCTATTAACTACTTAATACATTTCAGAGAACAATGTAAATACTATAGTTTTACACTTGGTTTCAATATTAGATTTCCCATTCTTTAAAAAAGCAATTAATTTAAAACAGCTACAGTAATAAAGCACGTTACTCAGATATACCTAAAACAGAGTATATTCTAACAGTGGCTAGCTATTCACAAAACCAAGTAAACCTGTACTGTTCTTGGATTAAGCTAAACAAACACAAAGAAGTAGGGATTTAGAAACACAGACTAAATTATTAAATTCAATGTTCCAACCCCTTCCTCCTGCCTCCACTGAAAGTAAATCACAGCCAACACAATAGCTTAATTAAAAAATTTGCTACCATTCTCATATCTATCCACACAGGTAAACTATATACTGAGGGAGAAAATAACCTTGGCTAGACAATGGGCAACTTTCTGGCGTCAAAACTGTCATTTAAATCTTTTAAAAGAGCATACAACACCAAAAGCTGCCGAGTTGCAGGTTGAAGAATGCTTTCCTCCAAATTATCCTCAAAGTATTCAACATCAGTTACAGCAACAGACTACCATGTTAAATGGAAAAAGGCAGCAACAAATTCAACGCTCTACACTGCTATTTGGTTACTTGAAATTTTACATTTAGGAAACTTATAGGATAATCTAATAACAACTTAAGAGAAAAGGGATAGAGATAGCAATTGCTTGACTGATTGTTCCATTACTATTGTTACAGATGCTTCCTTTACATGACCTCCATGTTAAAATAGCAAGAACGCTTTAAAACTTTATTATTACACCATTTCGTTTAGGAAGGCCAACAAAATAAAATATTTCAGCCAGATCTGAAGACATTGTTGATGTTCTGGGAAATCTGGTATCATATTTAGTGCATCTAGTAAAACTGCTACAGTCAAATGAGATCACACTGCTTATACAGATAAGACTAAGCTTTCAAAATGTGTTTTTAGTTCTTTGATTAATAAGTCTAAGAAGCTGAGAAATCATTTCCCAACAGAGTTTTTATTGTTCAAATATTAGTCAAGTTTACCTTTTTCTTTTTCTGAAGCACGTGATTAGGTAGCAGTTGGTGAAGTTGCTTACGTTTCACATGCCTTGCAGCAATCTTCATATCCATCTCAAACATCTTGCTGTTTATTGCTTGCCTATAAACTACACAATTAGAATAACATTAAGACATACTGAAGCATTTTGCAACGTCCACTTACTTGCCCAGGCAGAAAAAAATTGCATTTCATAACACCACCTTCAAGAACAAGCACAGCGTTTCCTTATTCTGGATGCAGAAAGGGAACTGCTTACTACACCACCACTGATAGTGCAAACACTAAAATGTTACTTTGGAAGCAGGTGACCTGCTTTTCTAGAAAAGCATCTTGCAAGCAGAGAGTTCTCTAAACTATACTGTTAACAAATTTTAACAGTAACAGCTCTGAAATGACTTCTTCATTTCATCTCAAAGGAACAAAAGACAGAAATAAGATATCCCTTATGAGAATTACATTATTTACATAAAAATACTTTCTTCAGAGTAGATTGAATTTTCATTTATGTAGCTCCTATAGCAAACTGTTCCAAATTCAGGAGCTGAATACTGACCCGCCAACAAATATACTACAAATCATTCTGGCAATTCAGATACCACACTACATTTTTGTTGTTGTAGTCTGGGGGGCTGGTGGTGGTGGTGTCTGTTTTTGTTTTTTGCTTGCCCTATTTATTTTTTATGTCTACTATAATGTTCTAAAATGTTCTTTGCCTCAGAACATGTACTTCTAGTGAGTCCACATAGAGCTAATAAAAGAACTAACACTGCAACTAAGGGGGGCTATAGGGATGCTGGGGAGGGACTATTCGTTAGGGACTGTAGTGACAGGACAAGGGGTAACGGGTTAAAACTTAAACAGGGAAAGTTTAGGTTGGATATAAGAAGGAAGTTCTTTCCTGTAAGGGTGGTGAGGCACTGGAATGGGTTGCCCAGGGAGGTTGTGAATGCTCCATCCCTGGCGGTGTTCAAGGCCAGGTTGGACAGAGCCTTGGGTGACATGGTTTAGTGTGAGGTGCATCTGCCCATGGCAGGGGGATTGGAACTAGATGATCTTAAGGTCCTTTCCAACCCTAACTATTCTATGATCTTGTGTTCCAGTAAAGCCAGGTGAAAGTGGTTAAAATGAAAAAAAATGTTCTTTCACATCCATTTTCTAGACATTAAACAAAGCCATAGCAAGTGTATGAATACAAAAAAACTTTCTGTAGATCTTCACCTTTTAAGTTCTGTTATTTCCCTTATTCGCTGTCTATTCTACCAACATTAAGGAATCTCATTAAGGAACTGATTAGGCTGTATGTAATTAAAATTTGATTAAGAGTCAGACACACAAATAGCTCAATGAATTCTGCATATTAAAGAGCCCACTACACTAATTTTTGGCATTGAAGCTCATAAAGCCTCTGTGTGAAGATTATACAGGTTACAGTTAAGGCAGGGGCACACACAGGAAAGCCAGACATGGTTAAAGCATTCCATATTCCTAACATTAGGTCTTACCAAAGTTTCAATACAAGGAAAACCTAGCCCACTCTTCATGGCTTTCTTCCTCTCCCTGCTCTAAAAAGTAGGCTATTCCATAATTTCATTCTTGAAAATGCTCTGGTAGTTCTGATAAAAATCTTAGGATCTATTCCAAAAGACAGGGCAAGCATGTTTTCAGGATGGATTAAAAACATTGAAAACAGACCCACATTAATTTGAGGTGACAAAGAAACCCATAACACACAAACAGAAATTGTTTGTTTGATACTTTTTACAATAATTACAAATTGAATGGAAAACTATACACTGCAGTCTATAATGTTTTTGATGAAATACTACTTAAGTTAAAATTGCATGTAGCCAAATTTCAGATCTGCATGTAATGCAAGTAAATCAGACTCATTAAGTGCAACATTTAGTATTTGCAATTGCAAATTGCAAGTAACCAAAAATTTGACAAGTACACTACTGAAGTATCGTTTATAAAACACAAAAAGACACTCTAATTCATAGATCCCTTCACTCTTTCAAAGCAGCAGCCAAGCTATTATACCTTTTCTAAATTCTGAAAAATTACAATGATGTGTCAATAGTTTCACCTTCACCACTTAAAAGGAATATTCCACCTCTCAATAAAAATCCCCTTGCCCCCACTGTAGCTTTATATGACTAAAAATAACTTCAGTACCTTGGCATAATTTACTTATAAACATACATATTTATTAATATTCACTCATACACCCACACTGTGTATGTGTGTGTGTACGTACAGTTTCCTCACTTCCAGACTGAGTTGTGGAAATTCGGAGACCAGGGCTGCATTAGGTAACACCTGAACCTACTCCTGTAACTGTAAAAATGTAATACTTGAGCCTTAACCATAGTTTGTTAAAGGAAAAAAATCTTGGTCCTAGACTCTGGAGATGCACACTTTTTCAGCTGTGACCCATTCTTTGCTTACATATTTCTTATGCATGTGCTAAAATATTTTCATGAATCAAAAAGTAAACATCAGAAAAAACTCAAAGATTTCTTGCACTGGGTGTTGGACATGAAAGTAAAAGTTACTGAACCAACTAGCTAGTATGAAATGCTATGGAATAAAAGGCATTTTGTTCTGAAGTCTACTAGTTACTTGGCTATAATCCACCAATAAATTCAGTCTCATCATGCAAAAAAAATATTTAAATTATATATGTTTTAAACATGAGGTTATGCTAGGTAGCTAGCATGTAACCAATCTGCCTGTTTAACAAAGATCACAATATATAACAACATTTTTAGTGAGATCTGAAAGATGCGTGCATCATTTTCACCAGTTTTAATGAAAAAAATGAAAATTATTACTGTGTTTAGCAGCATTAAAACTCATTAAAACTGTATTTCATTAAATAACCTCAACTCCTTAGCTGAATCTCTCTTCTCTATGCCTAGACAGAGCTCTGCTACTGAAACAGACTACATTATGAACAAAGACAATAGCTTCAATGATTTTATCAATACCAGAACATGTAGAAAGCAAAACTTACCTGTGTCTGTAAAAGACTGAATGTCATAGGTAAGGTCAACACTTAAATTCTCAGAATTCTCTGTTTTCTTAAACACCAACCCAATCACCCACATTGTACGGTATTCTTCTCTGGAAAATATTATACAAAACAATCATATAATACTGGCAGAAGAATAATCTAAACTACTAAGACAGACAACAGTTGTACATTTTTTAGCTCTACTAGCAATGGGGAGCTAGCCATAGAAAGGCAAAACCCGAAGCTGACAATGACATTCCCCTTTCATTTGGGAAAAGTCATGAAAAAATGACACATTTATCTCCAGCAAACTTAATGAACGAATATCATCAGTAATTACTTCATTCAACTGTGCTTCTGTACAGACTCTCTCATTAGGAATTTTAACTAGCCATTGCAGCTGTAAAGGAGCGATTTGAAAGGAGAAAAGAGATTTTCAGTACTTGATCCTGAAAGTAGTTAGAATTTATTCCCTAACTAACCAAGTCCTGTTTCGGCACCTAAACTTTTCTTTAACTCTCCAATTTCTTAACCATGACTAGACAAAGTGCAGTTTTGGGGCAAGAAAAGCCTCCCTTTGACAGCACACCTTCACTTAATATACATGGAAGATGATTACAGTTTATTACAGAATATAGCATAACAGTTCGGTAACAGCTAAAGACATTTGATGTTTTAATTCAATTGTCTTTTCCCATAGGACTATTTCAGGAGAACATTGTCTTCCAATCAACAGGCAGCTTTAGCTGTATTCACCCACTGACATGGTGCTGAAAAAGTATTGCCTGCTTTTGTCCAATTTTACTTAGAACACATATGTAATTTATGTATGTAACTTAAAAAAAAACAAAAACAAAAAACAACCCAGTAGCACCATACTGTCACTTGAAGCAGATGATGTCTGAGAAAGGCCGTGTGGAAGGCAAGCAAACAAGGCTTTTCACACACTCCTGGTGAAGACAAAAATTTTCTCCACGTTCTCACAAAAATGATTCCTTACAATTATAATGCTACCTAGAAATAAATTTTATTAAAAAGAGGTTTTAACCAACTATAGTTGTTTTGGGTGGGGTGACAAAGCACGGAAATAGTTGAAAATATATGCCAAACAATTTGAAGCACTTGGTATCTTCACCACTGTTCACACATCCAAATTCTAACACCAGCCATTACCAAGTTTCAGTGATAAGCACCTTAACTGCTAACAATATTAAATGTACTTAGTTACTTAAGATTTCGGCTCCACCTCTGATGTTCTTCCTGATTCTCAGTGCTGCCTCCTAACTAAAACTGTCTTATTAGCTGATGCTAGCTGCTCAAACAGCAGCTAAGCAGCTAAGTAACAGCAGATTATTGGCAAGAAAATATGCAATTAATACAATTTTCTGCTTAGAAACGTTCTTATACAGAATAGAGTATCTAATTTTACAAATAGTACGTAAGAGCTCAAAATTATATGCCTTTAGATGACGTAATTGAAAATTAATCCATTTAAGATTCTATAAAAATGCTAGTGTATTTATTAATGAATTGGCTATTAATTACGTTAGTTCCTCACCATTACATTAAAAAAGTTTTGCTTACTTGTCAGGATTCTCCTTGGGTGCTGGGAATGACTGTGGATTCACATGAGCCAACGTAATGAATTCATTCTTCTCCAGATTTCCAACTAGAATACGAATTTTTGATTCCACCAAGCCCACCCTGCATGAATGTCATTTATTAGCAAGTTCTCATTAATATGAAATAGAAGTATCTAATATCATGTATCAGGACAAAATCCTCAACATCCTCCCTATACTAATAGTTGAGTCGGCAAATTAATTAGTGCACTACAGATGACAGACTAATTCAGATCAACAAACCAAGCGAACATGTTCTGAAAACTAACACAAGAGAAGCTTAAGAGTGCCTGAAGATCTCATTATGGCCAGATTTTACAAATCAAATTAAATAGCAAGACGTTCCACATCAAGTAAAAGGCAGCAAGAAACTCCAACGTATTTCTCCAACATTCTTTTGGCTTTAGATGATGAATTTTCAGGTTGAAGAAATCCTCAACATGTGACAATCTTAAAACTTTTATAACAAAAGAGGGCAGAAACAAGGGAAAGTTGTGGTTTTTTTTTTTGAGAAAAGGTATTTCAAGAGATAGAAAACATACTCCTTGCACTGCTTATTAAAAATGTGCATAAGGCTTAAGAAAACAAGATTTTCCAGTGCACCTGACTGTGCTGTAAAGAAGTAAAATGCAAGCAACAGCTTTCACTCCTTGGTTCTTCACTTTACTGTTTTTCAGAAACATGCTGTCTTCATCCATTTAATTCTGAAATGCCACTTTGTTCCACTAAAAAGATATTAGAATGACTAGATCTCCCTTACATCCAGGGTTGACAGGGTTTTGGTTTGTTTGGAGGGTTTTTTTGTGTTGGGTTGTTGGTTTTTTTTCTTTTTCAATAGCAAGCATTATACTCACCATTCTAGACGCTGTTTTTCTGTCGGTGCACTTGCTAGAAGTACAATATAATGCCTTTGGAGATAAAGACAATATGCTATTCTATTTATACTTCTAAAATAAGACATCAAACCTTAACATTAAAACTTTGTAGCAAATTGTACATGGCAAACTACAGATTATTAGCTTAAGTATATATACTCATCAATATAATTATGCATTTTTATGTCCCCCAAGCATGTGACTAATGGACTTCCCAAAAAACATTTCAGATTTTAGGGAATCGCATTTTTACTTTAATTAATACCAGTAACCTTAACAAAACCTAGGAACGTAGCACTAGTTGGAAAACAGTACAGATATTTCAATATGACATATCAGGGATTTAAATGACGAGAGATTCCTTGCAAGTGAAAACAACTGTTCACAGCCATCTATACATATGCTAGCTTAGTCACATATCTGTTTAGAAGAACAGTTAACAAAAAAAATGCATTTCTTCAAAGTAAAAAAAAAAAAAAAATGACACTAACAAGCGTGGTTTAAAAAGCCAGTATCTGCAGCTTAGAACTGTCTGAAGACGCTTAATCTGAAACTTCATGAGGAATGTTTCCTCTGACGATAATTCTTAAGCTCTCAATTATATTCCAGGACAATCAGTGTATACACACTGTAAGTAAATTTCAAATAAACAGAAAACAGAACAAGAATGGTGGTGTAAACAAAGCAGCCTAAGGAGAGTGGAATGGAAGATGATTACTTTTAACTTGAGTTCATAATGAGGGAGATGAGTGAACCTTACATGGTTACAGCCAGGTTTTTCAGAAGTTTAGCAGAAAAATCTATTTTAACATCCAAAGTCATCCAACTTGGCATTACTCCATAATGATATGGTATATTTAGGTATCTTCAGATCAGGATTTAAAGAACATAAGTAATATAATGGATTTGACCCTAGTATATATACCTCATGGAAAAGAACACAAGGTCAACGATGGTGAAAAACTATTGTGCGAAAAGTCCTATGAAGCTATAGGCCTTCAAATTGTAATGGCAAATAAAAATCAACAGATCAAATTAGTAAGTACATAATTACGTATTTAAGTGGCAAGAGGAAAAAAACCTTCTAAATGCTACAGTCCTTTGAAATCAGTCAGAGGATGTCAATGACACTAGAGGACTGAAACAGATTTGGAGAAACTTTTTTCCCCTTTCTGCATAGATTAATTTTTCTGATAAAACAGAATTTTTAACCCATTCTGAGTCAGTTTTATCTATTTTTTTTTTTTCCATTTTGGCATTAATAAATAGTAAGGGTCCTTTATTCAAATTCCATATGGGAAGCTCCTAACTTCTGGTATCTATTTTCCCTAATGAGCACTACATATGCAACTATCATTCATAAGATTCCTAGATCATACATACCACACAAGCTTGCAGAATGTTTAATTTAGTAGGAAAGCCAACTTAAGCTTTTTGTTGTTTTTAAACATATATGAACTGAAAAAGATCAAGTATTTGAAAAAACTAATTTCCAGTTACTTATTAAAAGCAGCTCTTTGAAACAAATTTCTGAAGAATTAAAAAACAAACAAAAAAAACCACAAAACCAACTTGGCTATGTCTTAAAACCTCAGCTAAGTGGTTAGTACCTAGGGAAAAAAAAAAAAACCTTAAGGCTTTTTTATTAAAATATAATGATTAGCTATTTCTGCTCAGGTAGTGCTAGCTGAAAAAGAAAGAACAGGAGAAGATGCAATTTCTTCCCCCATACCCAACTGTTAAAACGGTGCTAAGAGGGAAATCCACTACTGGCAGTTTCACCAAAAGTTAAATAGCACAAGCTATTAAAAACCAAGATGTACTTAGTTTTAAAGTCAAAGTTCTCACTGCTAAATTTTAATAACAAGATTATCAGTTCTTCATTCATAATTTTATCACACAGAATATTTCTAATCCAAAAGTATCCATTACTTCATGATAAAGGGAAAAAAAAAAAACAAACAAACAAAAAAAACCTGAAGTTAAGCTTCTACCTCTCAGATTTTTAGATTGAGAATACTGTTTTGAAGTACGTGGGTTTGGTCTTTTTTGTTGTTATGTGGTTTTGGTTTGGGGTGCTTGATTGATTGTTGAAACAACTGCTATTTCTCTCCTATTGTCTCCCTATCAGTATTGTTTTTATAAAAACAACCTTATTGTAGATATTACAGAACTGTCTTACAGCATTAACACCCATACCTACAAAAAAAATGAAGGATTTTTAAGTCATGCTACCTTCTCAAAAAAAGTGGGAACACCTGAACATGTTCATTTCAATTTTTATTAAGCTGTCCAAGATTTACACTTTAAATTATCCAGTCCTTTTAGATAGAGTCCTATCAAGGGAAGTGTTCAAAGCACCTTTTTAAAAGGTATGTTTACATTCTACTTATTTAGCAGGGTATCCCTACAACAGAAAAAACATGCCAGAGCTCATTAAATGAGTGTTATTTCTCTCACTACTGTACTTCCCTCTTTGCTTTAAGCTCTAATAATTTAATTCTTAAGTATCACTTCATCCTGATGTTATACCCATTTGAAATTATTTTTGTAATTTCACTCCAAAACACCATACCCAACCAAGTGTATGTCCTTTGTTGTTGTTTTCCCCCCCTCAAAATTTAAAAAAGAATGCATGAAGGGCAGATAACACATGTAACTACCTAAATTCCAAATAATTTACATTTTGTATAAACAGGAAAAATACACACATAAAACCAGATGTCCCCATTTCCTTAATTTCTAATCTGCTCCTGCCATGCAGGTATGCAGCAGTCTCCTTAGTCACAAAGTTTATTTTAAACACTGCTAACAAGTCAAAAATGTTTATGATCAAGATAGATGTTTAGCAACCAACCATCATCAAGAGTGCTACGGATTACTAGAGCAATCAGAGAAGTGTTTTTAAAACTGTGTCTCAGAGCAAGGACCAGACCTTGTCTTACCTGACAGAGCACTACATGCTACTTCGAATTTCAGCAGGGACAACTCAAGGCAACTACAACTTAGACAGGAGGAAAGTGTGAAGGAGGGAGGAAAAAAAAAAACAAAACCATCTAGCTTTCAGATGGAGATTTGAGCAATAGAGCCATATTTATTGCATATGGATGACTGTATATAAAGAATATGTAAGAGCTTACTAACCAAAATTTTTAGTTAACCAGAAAATCTTGGGTAATTTAAACAGCTCCATATGATCATTCCACGATTTAAAAAATAAAAATAAGCAAAGACATTCTGTGCAAAGCATACAAACCCTGAACACTTAATGTTAGCAATAGAAAATTTTATTGCTAAAAAATGATAAAATGGCTAAAGCCAGTACACAAAAATATATTTAAATTAAGATTATTTCAAGTGACACTTAATGTTTCCCATTTTTCCTAGTTTTGAAAGAAACAGAAAACTTACTAGGGAACTTACTAACTCTTGAGCAGAAGCTGATTTGTCTGCAGCCCATCTTAACTTGAAAAAAATAATATAACTTTACTGTGCTTTTATAAGTGTTTTGAAGCTTACATCTCCAAGGTACAACATAAAAGCCATCCAAATATTTTAAAGCCTTTATCATGCAAAAGGTATAGAAACAAAACACAGACACATTATGAAGGTCATCAGTCTCTTTTAATGGGGGAACTGTATATTTCAATCTTGTTTAAATTAGTACATAACCAACCAACCACCCAACACACAAACAAGTGTAAAAGATATCTGATTTTGATTCAACAAGAATGGGTCTCCAATTTCAACTGAGGGCAAAGAAGATGTAGTCCATATTTTAATAATCCGCATTTATTATAAAAATACAACTTTCAGCAAGTCCATATACATTTAACAACCTTCTGCCCCACAAGCATATTACTAGAAACCCTAAAAATTGAGGTGTAAACTTCAATATTTCCTTTAGAGACATTACAAAATTAGAGAAACTAGGTGTGAAAGAGTATTAATAAAGACCCAAAAGCCTTAAGCTTTAATGAAAAAAGTTCAGTGAAACCTAGTACATCTGGCAGTTAGTCAACACAATTGCAAAAATATCTTTTATTATCAGAATGAACTGTTGACTATGTTGACAGAAGAAAACAGTTTCAAGCATGTACTCATCTTAAATATTAACTTTCAGAATTAGTTCTTTAAATATCTTGTTTCCTGAGAGGCTGAATTTTAGAATGCTTACTGACACCACTAATGAACGTTTCTGTTAGTCAAACCAGCTGATATGTCTTCACTTTTACTGGTAGCATACAGATTGTATACTTAACTGGTGACATTTTAAGTATCTGGTCAGGGACTAACAGTTTCTGAAATACATGCTAAAGACAAAAAGAAAAAAGATCTGAGGAAATTATTAATTTTCTAAGAGAAAGGATAACAGTGCATTCACTCCCCCTCTGTATAGAAAAATCCTAACACTTTTTGGAACTCTAATGTATGTATAATTTAAGATCCTGTGCTACAGAGCATCATAAGATACTTTAACTGATAAAACTTAAAATATTCTCCCATGCCATAAAATACATACTTGTACTTTTGAAAGAAGTTTGGAGCTTCAAAAAGTTTGGACCACTCTGCCTTACTCAGCAAAATTTCATCTGTGATAGCAAGACCTAAATTATAAAAAAAAAATAAATTTAAACTTTGTTTTTAAATACAGTTTAGTATCCAGAGTAAAAACAGCTTATTAACTTAGCAAAAAGTTACTAAAATTATTTTACCCCCTTAAAATTCAAAGGAATTTATCAAGTTTTATATTGCAGTCATACCTTAAGTGGTCATTATTTATATAAATCATATTATTAAGAACCTCAAAATGTGATTAGAAATGTATGGTAGTTGATCAGACTGAAAACTTAATGTATTTTTGCTCTGCAGTGTAACACTGCTCAGTTCAATCTTCCGTGTATGCCACAGTAAGTACTCAATTCAAAGATAAGAGATCTTTTTCCTTACAGTACTTGAATCATCTCTTCTAAAAGGCAAAGACACAGTAAGACAATAAGCTACTGCTCTTTCTGAGATAGCTACTGGTGCTGATGCTCTCTTCATCAAGTCTACTTCCTGCTTTGATAACATTGTCCCTTATTTACTGCAATCTTCCAAGCATATTACTAGGAAAAATCTACAGGACTCATCTCTAAGAAAGTATATGCCTTATATTAGACCCCAAAATGGCCATGATTGGATTACTACACTTACCTTCACTGGGACATGCCACAGTCTAAAGCCACCAAAATAAACCAGGCATTCTAATTAATTACTCTCAGCTTCTAAGAGTGAAGGACAGGTTTGCAGAAATCTTCACTGAATTTGGAACTTCAAGCCACAGAAGTGTAACAGGCCAAGTTCTACCTCCCTCAAAGACAGTCTCACACCAAGACACTATTGAACATCCTCCCACCTCCACCCTGACAACCCATACCCACAATGGAACTGTTTTAAAGCCATTTGAAAACATTTATATAGAGACATAAGATAATACTTACCTTGTTTAAATTCCTCAACCATGACCATCCGTGTGGAAACGGACACATTGTAGGTAGAGTTCTGCTGTGGGTATGCTGGTGTAATTATAGGCATAAGATGGTACCTATCACTGGGGTTTACCTATACATAATAACAGCCAATCAGTTTTCTTCAAGCATACACATGAGTTAACAAATTTGGATTTCTCCCTTTACTACAACTGCATCTTAAATTCTAAGAGACTTTAGTTTGCAGACCAGGTTAAATTTACCAACAGTTCAGAAAAAGTTTAGAAAACAAAAATAATGCTTTCAAAGGTCATCATTCTGAAACACAGTGATGTGGGGAGGGCTGTAACCTGTCGGCACATCAAGATCAACTTGCTGGCATTTCAAAGTACAGAAATGCCAACTGAACAGAACAATTTCTCTTTAACAGAAATTAGCTTGGGAGCACATCAAAACAAGGATACCTTATCACCACATGAACACCTTCAGAAGAACAACTATCTTCAGACCTTGCAAAAAAATATCTTATACTTTATTTCTGTAATGCTACTGAAAACAAAGAGCTAACTTAAGACAAGAAGCTCTAGGCAACCTGACAGAAGCATCACTTGCATTAGCGTATCTTTTATTAAACAGCACACAGAGGAAAAAAAAAAGTGACAAAATACACACATGCAAAGTACATTTTAAATAGCATTACGGTAGCATTCTTATAGATAGTAACTTAAAGATAAAATGCTGACATTAACTTACCCCACTTTTCTTATTAGCTACTAAAACAGAAACAGTTCCCATCACACTGACCTCAAACCCCCATTGCAAGAATAACAGCAAGACTTGAGAACACTTCACCTGTCTCACATTATTTAAATGTGGACTTTTGTCAACCAGAAAAAAAAAAATCTGAAGTACAACAGGGCATAAACTTCAAACTTTGGTGCTTACTTTATTCACCAAAAAAAGATTAGTTGAACAGCAACCATTCTAAAATTCACAAAACAGCATCAAACACATCCACACTAAGCCCTACTGAAACCTCAGAACGTGAGCTGTGCTGCAAGCTATTTCACTGAATGCCTGAATGACATTAACAGCTGCTGCCCTTAATGCAAGTGCTACAGAGATCAAATATTATAAATAATACACAAAGCAACTTGAAGTCTTCAAGTTATGATCTTCTTTGGTTCAAGATGAAAAGACATTAATACAACTGCATGGAACTGAACATATCTAGCTGTGACTGCACTGAAGTGAATTCAATAGACTTGTAAAAGTAACAGGTTTTCAGTTAGAAGCAAACCATTTTAAGATAAGCAGTTTTAAAAAAATTAATTGCTTTAAGGCGCGTATCTAATTAGGCCAAGTATTTATTAAGATCACTTATTGCAAAAGTTGGGAGTAAAAAAGTACATTGTTCAGCAAGTGTACTTCCAGTGGTCGTTTAGAAAGATAAGCTTTGTTCCACATTCAGGAGAACTACAGGTTAATTATAAGGAAGACATAATACCAAAATATTACATTTAATAAACCCAAAATGAAGTTCACCTAGGACTCTTTAAGCAACTGAATTTATCGCACAGTGTGACTTATACGGGAAAAAATAATACACTAACCCTTGGGTCCCATACAGGCAAATTAAGATTGCATTCTTCTGGCTGTTTCAATAGCACTGGATTTGGCCATTCCCTGTTCAAAAAGATTGTAGCACTGAATAAGACTATTGGATACAACCATGTTCAACAAACAATACTTTTGAACGCGATCCTTCTGCTCTCAAGGTATAGCATCATTTCTGTAAGACTAAGCTGGTCTAACTGGAGTTCTTTACATAAGCCGTATTACTGAACTACAATACATCTGTAATTAGCTTTTCCAGGCCATTAGAACAATTAATCTTTTTGTAGTCTTTGGAGTTTCATAACTACTGCTTTAGGGAACTAAAACTCCTCTAATTTCTTCTTGAAATACACCTAGCAAAGAGAAATTCCACTATGAAGATGGACACTGGGTCCATCTTCAACCTAGCCGTTTCATGGACAAACTACAGAAGAAACAGCCAGCATGGTTACAGCATTACAAGCATCATTACAAGGTGTACGTATTTTAAAAAAAAAAAAACTAAAAAATCCAATCAAGTAAAAAAGAATCCATGCTGAATGAAACACTAAAAAGAGGCAACACTTCTGTTCTTCAAGTCATCTCTACTCCCATAAATTATCTTCTTATAAAGAAGTAGAAGTCAGTTAATCTCTTGGTATTTGTACATTAATGCTCCTATGCTATGCACATATAAAACAGAATAGCAGCATAAAGAATACAGTGAACAAAGTTTGCAACCAGTTTTCCACTTTGTGTGGCAAGATACTACTAAACACTAGGGACCCCAAAAAGGATATAAAGCCTATGGATTCAAGAAACTATGGAAATTACCTTCATGTTAAGAAGGAAACACACTATACTTGAAGTAAAGCAACAACTTCATACAGTGATCCTTAAAACATGTCAATGTCTCATGAAGACTGTAGGTAGAGACATGTCCTTTCAAAAAACCCCAGTATTCATTTGTAATCTGCAAAGTGCACTCTCATCCTATTAATTCTAAATTTACTTGGAATGTTACCATTGTTCCCATCAGAGTTATTCCAGTAATCTTTCCGAGGTAACTAGCTCAGGAGTATGAAGCCATATGTAACTGCAAAACACCTACCTCTCCGCCCTGGCAAAATAAAAAAAATACAACCCACACTTTTGCCACTGGTTCTCCAAAACTGTGTTTAATCTACATGCCTAAACCAGATACTGACACACCTCCTCTCTTCCATTATCCCAGCACCTGAATATTAAAAGACTTTAAATTTGGGGGTGTCTGCTCTTATTCTGCACTATGTAAGTATTTCTTCTAAAGAGTAATGTTGAGTTACAAAAACCTAGGAAAATTTTTATCAAAAACTGGGTGGATACTTTAAGAACACAGTATGTTGGATGACTTGTTGAAAAAGCTAACAATTTTCTGTCAGTAAGAACAAAGCTTATAACTACGTCTTAATCTAGTAACACCTGAAAATGATACCATAAAAACAGGACTAAAATTTAGTGTCTACAAACAATTTTATTTTAGTTTAATCTAAATATAAGAAAATAAACAAAACAAACAAAAACCCAAACAACAAACCAAAACAAAAAACATACCATTTAGAAAATACCAAGAAAAATTTATGTACAAGAGTTGATGCTATTGCATTTGGATAAAGCTGGCAAGTTCTTGCTACTAGCATAGCCCAGGAAACACCGCCAAGGAAACCTAGTATATTGGAATAGATGTTGTGGCCTGTGGATTGAAAACGAAAGAGACAAAAGAAGAAAGGTATCAGTAATTACAGGAGTTAAAAGAAACTTTACAATTTTTTGAATAAAACTGCTTACGTTTTGCCCACAGTTTGATAGCTCTCAGTGTTAACCTGAAGTTGTCAATGTTTGGTACTAGATGCAGAATTTCATCGGTTACCCGGCAACCTGCCAAAAGAAAGAATCCAAGCAATCTGATGACGTTTATGCATACTAAAATAAAAAACTCAAGCAAAAAGAAAAAGGAAAAAAAAAACACACGCAAAATAAATAAATAAATAAATCCTCAACGCTTACATATCTTTATTTATAGAAATGTTGATCCAAACCAGAGTCTTGCAAATCCCATTAATGTCTACACAGCACCACTTACCACCCAAATTAAAGAAAAACATTTTATGAAGATCTGGCCAATAAGAAACTTTCTTTCCAAAGTTAAATAACACTGGCTATGACTTCATTTCCAGGTATGGAGTTGCTACATTTTCAGACAAGTCCACAACTGAATTACTGTACCAAACAATCCAGGATACTTATTAAAAGATAAGATGAGAAATTTATATGCAAGACTGTATATATACATACCATTAAGACTTCGTATGCATCTAATGTCTAAATTTTTAAGTAGGCTATCGTCTCGTAGGTCTAAGTCCTCGGGAATAGTTTGCAGTGCTAACCTCGCGAACAAAATATCAATCTTGGAAAGAAAAAAAAAAAAGAGATAAGAAATTAGAAAACTGTTCTTCTGTAGAATTAATTTTTTAACCTATTTTTATCAAGTAGTACTACTTCCCAATGTAAAACAAGTTCAAAATTAACTTCAGATTAAAGCTGTATTATCTCTAGAAGGTCTAGGACCTCTGAAGATTCAAAGTTCTTGAAAGTAAAAGCATTTTTGCAAATAAATAAATTAACAGCTTGACCTGTGTCTTTCTGTGTGTGTAAGTAATTTTTCTACAGGAAGAACAAAATAAAAAAAAAAAAGCAAGAAGTTTCTTGTTTATTTTAAGCAAGAACATAAAATGCGTATATAAAAACTAGTATTGGCAGAAATATTTGAAGTTTAACTGACAGGATCACCACAGAACTAAACTTCTTTCCCTCAGTTCTAAGGTTTTTCTTCACAGATACCTTTTGTCTGGATTAGGAAAAGGAAAAAGAAATTAAAATGTTCCAATATTGACATTCTGGGCATAAACACAACCATCAGAAACTGTGACCCAACAACACTTGTGCATATATAAAAAGAGTGCTTGTGAGTTAGCATTCAAGGCTAGAGAACTCTCATTTGCTGTCAGCAACATGGGATAAGCCTCAGTCATACCCCTAATCATAATCCATCATAAATTACTATTTTGAAGCAAGATACTACTACTCTTATAGCAGACAACCCTTTTTATTAGCCTATTTATGCTTGTATTTTGAATTTTATTTCAAAAACAAGGAGAGACAACAGTGACCTAAATGCGGCTAAAAAAAAAAAAAACAAACCCCAAAACAACCACACCCCCCACACACCCCCCCTCCAAAAAAAAAGAAAAATCAACAAACCAACCAACCAAAAATGCTAGCCAGACAATGCCTATGGAAAGTCAGAGGATGCCTATGGAAAGTTTCAGTATTTAAAATTAATACCCAAGCTATGCAAACAGAAAACAGATTCTCCAGAAAAATGTTCCCAATACCCAATTGCATATGGAAAGTAATAAAATTGCTGACACAGATGAGTCACTGGCTACCTTACTGCACAGTATCACACTGCACATCTCTCTCATTTGGAGAAAATGCATCTCTTTGCCTAAGCATCAACTGACACGTCGGTGAAAGCGCAAGTAAGTAAAGCTGGATAGATGAGGGCAGAGGAGGCGGTTCATCTTCCCAAGATTCAAAAATTGCCAGTACCCTAATGACCATTATAAGTGCAAGGCAGAGATTTAACTAAAATTGACATAGAAGTACCCAGTCTTGTATACAATACTACAGCTCTTGAAGTCACATCATGTGTCAGACAGTTAATATGGAATTTTCCCCCCACTGTAAAGTACACTTCTTATACCACCCCCAGTTGCTGCTTGACATAATCCAGCTACAAGTCTGATGAACTGTGTGTATGGACAGTTTATATGTTTTTGTCTTGTCACCAAGATAACAGGTTAACTATAAACCAAGCTGAGAAAGATGAACAGAATATCTTTTGAAAGCAATATTCTTGTATTCTCAGCAACTTTACCCAAAATAGTAAAAAATCAAGTTAAACAAGTTGATCACTGCAAGATAGCTGATCCATAAGGCTACAGACACCAGAACAACTGTTTTGGTCACATGTTTACAGACGTCTGAAGAGATCAGGACTAAGGGGATATCCCCTGTCTGCCTTCAGTCATACATTTTTGAAACAGATAAAAAAAACACTTCCTATAGTAAAGACACTGAAGCAAATCTGTATTTAAGGTTCTGACAGCTAATTATTAGCAGCCAAAAAAATTACTAAAGCCACATTATTAACAGAATTTCTATTAAGTCTTAATAATGCCAATACTAGTATTCTGCAGATCAGTAAACTAATCAGTACTAGCAAGTAGCAGTGCCTAAAAGAACAGGTAGATATCCTATACAAAGATCTAAGTACATAAAGAAAGACTTGTTTTAGTCTTAAAGCCACACTTTCACAACCGAGTACTACTGTCATAAACTTAGGAGAGTCATTTTAACAGCACTCATTAATGAATACTACACGAATTACAGATATCTTGAAAACTTCGTTTTAACCATGCTCTACCAAAACAAAATAAAAGATCTTTACCTCTATTCCATCAAAACAAAGTTTAATAACTGGGACAAAAGCTTCTTCAACAGCCTGGGGGGGGAAAAGTTGTATTTTATTTTCAAGTACAGAGAACACTTACAAGCAGGTCTAAACAACCACACTGACATGCTAATTATACAGATGCTTTTTTGTTTTCAGGTTGACTTTTGTCAGTAATGCCTCCTCCACCACTTATGCAGTAAGCCCTGATCTGCTACATCCCACAGCTGTCTTGATGTTAATTATAATCCAAACTCATACCAACCAGCTCTAATGATGTTACTTGAAGGTCCAACTCTCTTCTCACTACATGTAGGACATGATCAAATGTTTTACTCCTCACATGATCTCTAAGGCCAACCTAGGGAGAAGTCTTACACCAAGAGGCCTCTCCCTTCTATGTTTTCTCCAGTCAGTATCTTATGAGAAGTGACAAGGAGACAACTGTGTAACTACATAGTCTAACATCATCTAAACCAGTCGCAAGTCACCAGTCTTCAGAGCTTGAGCATCTTTTATAAATGTTGTCATTAATGAGGTACTTTGACAAACTGTACCCATGATGAAATAATGGAAATCGATGCCTACTCTGACACAACCTTCCTGAACTGAGCATCCAAACTAAATGCAGATCTGCAGAGCACCACTTTAATAAAAGCAAAGAACACTGCATACCTCCTAATAAGTGATTTAGGAACTGCAGGGACTTAACGTGGTTTTAAGAGTTAACAAGAGGAGTCAACACTACCCTCAGCACCTAACCTTCATTAAGGTTACCTTAAGGTTACTGGATGTTAGGATGGATCCTAAGCAAAATATAACATTCACAGGTCTCCGAGTCATTCACTAGAGCAATCATTAAGAAAGCCTAAGTTACGTAAAGGTATACAAACTTCATTCGTTCTAGCTTGAATGATTTAAAGTGTTATGACACCCTGACCTAAAAGGTTATCTGTATCATTGCAGGGCTACACTGAAGAGTAGATCGACCTTGCTGCTACATCAGCTTAAGTCACAGTTTACAGCAAAGTTAATCAGAAATCTGCAAATCAAAATCCTCTTAATTGTGGATTGTGTATTTAAGATTATTAGAAGTGCTCAGATAATAAAGCATTCAAAACAATTGTTTCAATAATAGTATTGCCACCAGGTGTTTCTACTTCCCTGGTAGCTACCAACTACAGGATGAAAAGGGTGGAAGAATACTGCAGAGACTGTTACATTTATTCTATGGAAGCATGAATAAACCAAAGTTTCAGACTTACCAGCAGCTCCCTTTATTAAAAAAACAAAACAACCAAACTGCAGCAGAGAAAATTAAATTTTCTCAAAGCAACATTAAGATTAAAGTTCCTACCAGTTGACCTAGGGAGGCTTGTCATTTATGTATAATAGAAAAAAATACTGTATACCAGTTGTGTCTTACATTCCTACAAGGAAAACCATCTTACCATACTGAAAGTCTTACAAAGCATCTAATAATTGGACACACTAAAAATGTTACTTCCCATTTCAAATGCATAGCTGACAGACAATACAGAGTGTCTCAATAACATGAACCACTGTCATTGTCCATACAAAGCATGAAATTATACAAACATCAGCATAACTGGATACTTCAAAACTTCAGTAAGACACTTTTGGTCCTGATCCTTTCCAAGCTAAAACATCTGCATTTGTCTGCAGCTAAAGAGCAAGCAGAAATTTTGCAGTTCTAGCACACACCCTAGGACATCATTCTGCCATGTAGATTTCTTAAAATTACTATCTCTATTAAGTGGAAACAGAAAAAACAGAAGAATCTCTATTTCAATTATGGTGGTAGGCTTTGCTGCAGGTTAACTAAAAATCCACTGCAAGCCTTTAACAGTAAAGTTCAATTTAGTTATTTAATGCATCATCTTTCACTAACTTTTCAGCAGCATCGTGAGTTCAGTTAGCTACATCGGATACTTCACATACCCTCAGATCTTTTACTTCTTCTTGTTGTTTCAGTTTTTCATAAAATGATGTGAAAAAGTCACTTCTTTCAACATGTCTTGGTGCAACACAGAGGGCATCAATATCAGCACCTGAAATTGTTTATTAGCACAAGTTATTCACACTTCACAGCTCCAGCATTAGCCAGACTCTTTTCTTTTTAAAGCCAGGCAAAAATAATTTCTCTTCCTGTAGAACAGCTTTTCTTCAGGAATACTAGGTCAAATCACATACAAAAGTTCACGGCCATGGAGCATACTGAATACATACATACATTCTTGCAGTTGTTGAAGATTTGTAGTAATTTTTAAAGAGCAAACCATGAGACTCCAAGTATACTACTTGAGCTTTAAATACTTTCCAACTTTATTATCTCTTTCCCAACCCATCACAAAAACATAACAGAGAAACATATTTCTTTTATTTATAATAAAAAGTAAAAATGGCTGACAAATTTAAAAACCTACCACCACCTCAAAATACAGAAAGTCCTGTTACTTAAGGGTGGTGGCATTTACAGCTATGTCATTAGCTCAAACACGAGTTTTTATAATAAAAGTAGATGTTACCTTTTGTATGAACCCCTAATCTATAGGATCCAAATGTAAAAATTTTTCCTCCAACATTTTCTATTACAGATTGTGGAAGATTCTAAATGGAGCAAACAAAATTGGTTATTTTACCTTAACAAGTTTTAACAAACAACAATTTATTTTCAAACAAAAGGAAAAAATATTCCACAAACTTATGTCGTTTTAATGTATAATGATTACTGAATTAATAATCTTTGCATTTACAGAAAAGATGGAAGTTATGTTTACCACTTGGGAACTATCTGTAATATTTCAACTACATTACACATTACTGCCTCAAACTTGGTAACTGTTCAGCAGTCCTACACTTCCAAGTGCAACAGCTTTAAAATATTAAGGACTTTGAACACATTTTGCTTAACACACAGACTTTTTAAGACTGACTTAGAAATTTATGATTAAGTGCAACTTAGAGGGAAAAACATATTACCAATTTCAATATCAGTGTTTATTAAATTACTTGCAGACACCCATACTACAATCTCTATATAAAAGTCTGGGACTGGGAGAGGTACTTATTTCATGTTGAAATTGTTCAGGTACATCTACTAAAGTTCCTAAATTTGCAGCTTAAAAAAAAACAACTCTTAAACCCACACTACTGTGGGCAAAGACAGTTACCCCTTCATAACAGGATGCAATGTTACAATCTGAAGCTCTACGCTAATGGTTACACAACAAAACATATTAAAAAAATAATTATTTCGCAATGTATATTTAACTGAAGTAGTTCCCTGTCTTACATCAGTTAAGATACTCTCACTATTTTGCTTTCAAGAATTGCCCCACCCATAATCTTGTTCATATATAAATTTCCATTTCATAAGTGTACAGAAGAAATACAATCCCAAATATATTTAAAGCATAATAGGTTAAAAAATACGGGTTTACCCCTAAAGGCATCACCTCCGTCTTTACAACTTTTGCAAGTCTGTAATAATTCAAAAAAAGGCATGTGTAGGGGTGTGGAGGAATAGAGCCTAGCAAAACCACTACTATCATTGTTAGTCTACAAAAGTAACATTACAGGACTAACACTAAAGACTGCAGATCATAAATCTGCAAGAAGTCCATTTTATGATATAGCACTGCTTCACAAAGCCAAACAATTTAAGTATCTAATTAACATAATTTATACATATTTGTTTTGACAAAAAGTTAAGCTGCATTTCTATCCAGGGAGATGAGGGAACAACTGAAAATTATTATTACAACTACAACTTTTTTTTCAGTTTCTTTCTTTGACAACATTCTACTTTGAAGGTGAACACTGTCTGGAAACTAAAGCAGCTACACACAGGTGTTACTTATTTTTCCATTTTTATTAAACTAGATGCCCAAATCTAAAATTCATCTCATTTAGAGCGGGAACATATTTTGGAATTGTCTTCCTACAGCAATCTTAGTATGAGCAGGTTCCATGTAAATACATCCATACCTTGCTTTCACTGATTTCCCGTATCCATTCCTTTACCAGGTTATTTAATTTTCCCAAAATTAGAATCCTGTTGATAAAACAGCAGAATCACAGGTCATGAACTTAGACAAAACTAAGTCTCAAAAAAAACTTTTGAGACGCTGATCATCATTACACACAGTCATTCAACTACAGGAACGCCACAGAACTAATTACAGATATTGCTTTATATATATACACACACACTCTCAAAGTCAGTCTTACAACATTTCCACTGTCTTTTCCCCATTAAAGACCTTCAAGTGATTTAAACTCAGAAAAAATGCAATCATGCAAGGCCTACACACATTTTACATACATTTTGCTCACTTCCAAAATAAAAGCTTCATTCATAAAACACATGCACCTAAAAAGAGTCAGACGCAGTACTGAGAGAAAAAAAAACTCTAGAAAGCTTAATAAGGAATAAAAGTAGAAAAGTCACTACAACAAAACTGTTATGAAGGGAAGAAAAAAAAAATGCAAATCAGCCTCCAAAATTTAAAGGCCATTTTCATTCATTTTCCTGTTCTCAGGTATTCCTTTTAAGATAAAAAAAATAACCTTAATATTCTACTAGGCTTTTAAGAAAGCATTTGAAAGAACATAAACATGTTTGAGTAGTTGAGGTTCAACTACATGAACCTCAAGACAGGAGAAAACCACTGATAAAGTAAGCATTTACTCACCTGCGCTGCAATTCTTCTTCCTCTTCAAATACACCATAAGGTTTTAAGGTTTCAATTAATTTCTGGGTAAGTATGCAGTCAAACTCCTTGGGGGCAGCTAAACTGATAGGTGAGGTAATGCCATAATGCTTCTGTAGTTGCTGTGTTTGTGATCCCTGGGTTGTAACGGGACTAATAAAGGCAATTAGATAAAGTTACTGACAGAAACCAAACAAAACAAAATCATTTTAAAATTACTTTTTCTCAGCAAAACAGACAAGAGACACATACTAGGAAAATAGAAAGTTAAGCCTATTGTTAGTTTTTACACCACAGATCAATCTGTATTAAATCTGTGGTATTATGGACAACAAAAAAATTACCTTTCTCTAACTCCAAATATTGATTGCAGGGGTACAAGTTGCTATGAAGCATGATTTTTTTACATCAGCTGCCTTCACACACTCAGAACACTCACACGTGTAAGATGTTCTAACATATTTTGAGTCCATTAGCAACATACAGTTAGCTTTAAGCTGACTTCTCTGCTGGCTAGCATAACTGTGTGTGTAGATGAATGGCATCAGCTCAATTTATCTTGGCAATATTATATACAACATTGGCCTTGCTTCATGAGGTAGGTGTGGGGAGATTATTAGGTTTGTGCTAGACTTTGCCTAGCTCAAGTACCAAGGATGTAAGCAATACTCTCTCCACATCACTCATATCTCATTAACATGATGCTTAGCTTCATATAAGTATTTCACTAAATAAGTATGTAAGCCTCAAGTAAAACTAACCCACCACAACGGGTTAAAACTGCAAGGACTTAGTTCACTAGTAAACAGTTGTCCTGGGTTCAGCAGCAGCAGTCATTTTTTCTCCTTCTTAGTACCTGGGGCAGTGCTGTGTTTCTGATTTTCAGCCTGGGAACTGCGCTGATAACACCGATGTTTTTAGTTGCTGCTCAGTAATGTTTACTCTGACCAAGGACTTTCTGAGTCTCATGCACTGCCAGGGAGAAGGGGAAGCCAGGAGGAAGCAGAGACAGGACTGACCCAAACTGACCAAAGAGGTATTCCATACCACAGCATGTCATGCCCACTATATAAACTGGGGGCAGTTACCCAGAAGGGTTAGATCACTGCTCAGTCGGGCTGGGTATCAGTTGGCAGGTGGTGAGCGGTTGTATTCTCTTCCCTTGTTATTTCCCTTATTAGCAGTAGTGGTTTTGTGTTATACCTTAGTTACTGGACTATCCTTATCTCAACCTGTGGCAGTTACTTTCTTTCGATTCTCCTCCCCATACCTCCAGGAGCCAGGGGGGAGGAAGACAAGGAAGCAAGAGAGCAGCTGCATGGCTGACCGAGTTTAAACCATGACAACAGTGAAATCAAAAGTCCTCATAGCATCCTTGCCTTGCATTTTTCAAGCAACCCAGACAGATATGGAGGCAAACCTCAAGCAAAAGGATGATACTCAAGTCAGTCCCCCACATTTCAACATCACAAGAGAGACCACCATACAAAAGAACTTCAGAAGAAACACAAAAGCAAAGTTACCATCATATTGTGAGAACTAGGTGAGCTTTCTGGATGAAAAACAGTCATGCAGTTTTTCATAATGGGCATACATTTGCAGTGTTCATGTTTTAAAACAGCCTTTTTTTGAGAAAAATTTGAGCTGTATGGGTAATAATTCTACGGGTTTCAAAACTAAACTTGGGCCTGTGTAAACATACAAATGTCTGGATTCAGTGATTACTGCATGCTATTCCCGTACAGTTAAAACTTTTTTAACTGACAGTAGCAACAGCAGGCAGCCATTTAAAAAAAATCTTAAACATTCAGTATTGTAGAATAAATTATATATTTTAACATTTAAGATAGCCACATTTTAAGAATATCTAGTCTTGCTCATTATATACTTCACAGGTTTAAAAATAAGAATACTCTACTTAAACCTGTATTTCAAAAGCTCTAAAAGTTACTTTCAGTATTAAAGGTTTTACATTGATATATAGGTAACCTTTCCTCTAAATAATAAATATTACTCCTCCTTTGATTTTGTAAAGGACAAATCAAGGTAGTTAAGCATACTAAAAAGCTGCTTTTCTGAAACCAACTTGTTATTTAAATTAATCAACCTTCCAGAGATCAAACAAAAACATTATGATCTCTCACCAAAACACAGATTTCAGGAAACACAGGTATTACATCAACAGCTATTTAAAAGTCTTACCAACAATTAAAGCAAGTATTACCTGAAAGTTAAGGCAATGCTTGTGTACAACTGTCTATCTGCAATATTTACTATGCAAGATTACTCCCCCTCGAAGACATTGTGTTTTAATACCAAATGCATAATATATTCAATTCATTTTTAATTAACATTTTTTCTGATCAATGATTCATTCCACTACAGCAAAAGCTTTACCATCAATACGATCTCCCTCAACTTCCATAAAGTCTAAAGAAAAGAGAATTCCACACATCAGAAAGTCAAGCTAACAGCTTATATGAAAGTCCCCTTCTTTGCAAGCTTAACATTCCCCTGTACACTGCTGTATTATCAGTCCTTCATATTTATGGATTTTACATGCTATTTCTATCTTATGAAACAAGAAAATTTTCAGGCTAACCAGATATTGCATGTGGAAAAACTACAGTGCAATTTCACTTTCACTTCCATAATCTGTTGTCATTATCTCCTCATGATTTCACTCTTTATTTCCAGCATCTTAAAATCGGCAGGAATCAACAAAACTTAATTCTCCACAAGTTAAACCCATTTTAAAATTATTCTAAGCACTATAATACATTTGAAATCAAAAATTTAGTCCCAATGAAGTTTCCCACAAAGCAGGTTCCGCACATTTGTCCCTTTGCTTTTTAGCAAAAAAGGGGAAAATGACTAAAAAACTGTACATTTAAAAAATATATATGTCAACCCCCCACGTAATCATGTCTGGGAATGTTATTTGGTATTGCTTCCTCTGCTAAAGGGTTTTAATCACCTAGTAAAGAATTTGGTAACAGCTGAACAAATCATACAGACCTTAGGACTTGTATGAATGAAAACATTTTTAAAAACTGTCCAGGTGAATTATACAGAACAGTAATTCAAATTAAGTCCAAAGAAAGCCACTAAAACGTTTTCTGTTTTTCAAAGAAAAATAGTAATAGAATATCAACACAAATAGTAACTACAGCCACTTAGTTGCTACTAAATAAGAAGTCAGGAAAAAAAAAAAAGTCTCATACATAAACATCCTTTGGGTAGTATGAGTATTTTTACTTACACCACAACATAATTAAATTTTAACTGCAATTTCTCCCCTTTTTATCAGCTGTTATCTTGGGGGAAAAAAATAGATTTGCTCTTTAAGATTCTGCAATTTATTTTTACAGATCTTCAAAGCAGTAATACAAAGCAATCAATAGTTCAGTTGTGTAAAAATTTCCTGATGGCCCGATGCAATTTTTACCCATCTGTAACTAGAAACAGTATCCAATTCAACAGCTATTAGACATCATCGGGAGGGGCGGCAAAACACAGGCTGGCAGATACTGCTGCTAAGTATTAAAAAATAAAAGATTCAATGTAACTCAGACCCAGATTCCGCAAAGCGGACTCCTGAAGTCAATAACATGGACAGAGCCCTCCCCCCACTTGTGAAAGCCATGCTTCACCAATCTGAGAACTACCAACTGAAAAATAATCCTTTGCCTTGCCCCAGAATTATAACACTTAAAACCTAACCAAACATTAGATCGCTTCCCTAACCTGGTTTACAGCATAATCCTGGTAGTGCAATGAACAGGTCTGTCGTCACAGAACACCACACTGACATGGTTTAAACCATGTTTTATCTCCAACCCCTACACGGCCATCAGAACATGGTCACAGGGCACAAAATAAGCTTTGAAACTGTTCACTAAAACATCATCTTTACACAACCAATTAAATCAATCACTTAATAATACATTTTTGGGAGCTGTTTCACAAAAACAGTTTTTACACTTACTGCTCTTATATTTAAATATTTTATAATAATAAAATAACAAGGTTTCCAACAGCACAGGACCTTCCCACACAAATGTTTCACCTGTGTTTGAAGGTTGAGAAGTTAACACTTTCACTGGGATGGTACCTAACAATTCTCAGCATAGCTGCTCCTAATAGATTTACCATGCCAGAAGATACAACAAAGCTCACAATGAAGATACAATGAAGCAATGAATATAGTGATCATCTCCCCCCATACTCACTGTCCCTGGAAGTATTCAAAAACTGTGTAGATGAGGCTTCTAATGATCTACTGATGGACTTGGCAGTCCTTCAGTAACGGCTGGACTTGATCTTAAAGGTCCTTTCCAACCTAGCTGTTTCTATGATTTTAACACATATTAATATTGAAGTATTATTAGTATTAAATTGAAGCTCAGTTGTTTACACCTGCTGAAGTTAAGGCTAGTCTAAGGTAGCACATCAAAAAGATCAGAACACTGCTTTTATAAAATGACAGGAAAAAAAAATTGCATTTACCAAAAAAGTCTGCATCCTTAACTTAGTTCAACAAACTAACTAGAGCTAGGTAACTCATTCATTCATTTAAGTGACAGCAAGTCATGAAAGTTACTATAAGCAAGTAAAGGTAGATCCTCTCCCCACCCTCTAATTTCCACAAAACCAAGAAACTTTGGTAGCTGCTTTTTAAATGAATAAATTATCACTTAAAAAGAAACTTTAACTGCTCATTTTTCCAACTTTAATGTTGTATTTATATGTTACCTTTTAGCCAGAAAATGCTAACAATCAACACTCAGACTTATCTTTTACTTTTTCCTAAAGTCACAAAGATGACACTCTACTTCAGTATCTTTCCTCTTGGAAAGATACAAACATTCTAGTTTTTACCTGTGACTGTCATGATACAGCACTTTTGGAATCCCTTAAACTAATAAATTCATCCAAAGAGAAAGGACAGGTATATATAAATGCTAACCTCCTACCTGAGAGGATTAGGGAAGTTAAGGCCTTAGGGGGAGAGGGTGGAAGGGGAAAGCAGCCAGAAGTCAAGACCTTGCTGGTATGTCAGATCTGCTAGTCATTGATGTTAAGCATTGCCAAAAATCAAAGAGTACTAAACACAACAGAAAATCCCACCCAGCTACTCAATCTTTACAATA